AGGCTATGAAAGCAGAATCTTGCAAGTCTGTACTGTATTTACTCCTAGTTTAATGAATTAGGAAGGTGTCTGTCAGAATTTCTTCTGAATATTAACTCATTCTGAACTTTAAAAATGCTTCAGCTCCTTTTAATTAGTTAACAATTCTTGCATATCACTATCAAGGTCATCTTTCTTACCTTCTACACCAACCAAGACTCTAATGAGAACCAAAGGAGCATTCCTGTTTATCAAACTTTATATAAAAGTTTATCACCATCAATTATTCTACACTAGTTACAAACCTATGATTCTCTCCCACAGTTCCTGAGAATCTCTACTTTATGATTACTTAGATAATGTTGTTGTTTAAAAACAGTTTTTTATAGATAATCATTATGCTATAAGTGTCCTTTTGTGGGTTGCTATATTTGTTACAGGAGATAATTTTGTCCTAACAAAGGAAATATAATTTTCCTACAAATACAGTATAATACATAGGCATCAGAATAGCCCAAAGCCCTTTTGAAAGAAAAAAATTAGGGGAAAAAAGCTCCTTGTATTAATTGCAAGGTTACCTAAGGTAAGTATCATAAATTTTTATGTCTTTGCCGGTTGATGTTAATTTATATTATCCTTCCAAATATTAAGACTTAAAATTAAACATTTCTTCATTAAATAAATGTGCTATAGCAATGAACACAAAAAGAGAAACTGATAAATAAGAACTATGAGGGTTTCCTAGTATCTGCTAGAAATATATTCAGTAAAAGTAGCAAAGTAGTATCCTTCCTCAATCTAGTGCTTTCCATATTTATTGAACTATCATTTCCGTAGCTCTTCTTATATTGCATGAGGATAAATTTTTACATTAGCCTTTCTGTACATTGACTTTGAAGTTATTTTAATAGTAATACTAATAGGAGATAAAACCATTATGATTTTGTACAATAGCACCTTCTAATGGCAATATTGAGCAAAACATTTGTTATTAGCCTTATAAGATGACATTCTGGAACATTTACTTAGTTTATTGACTTCATAAAATTTACTTTTCCCAGTATAGCTTACAACAAATGAAAATCACCACATAGTTTGAAAATATTCTAAAATAGTAATGAAAATACTGCATAACACACATATACACAATAGGGCTATGCTGCACTTCAGATCCAAAATTGAAAAGGTGCTTTAGAGTAAGACATGGGTACACACAGGGCTTTTTTTCTCATAGAACGCCCAGAACGGATTTCCGGCACCTTTTTTGGATGGAACCTTGTAGGGCAGGCAAGGCAGGTTGTATGACGTGTGTGAGTTCTGGCAC